GTTCAAAATGTCTGAACAGAACCAAATCGCATGGGTTCGTTGGCTATGCTTCCCTTTAGGTAAAAACTTAAAGGTGGTTCACTTGCAGTCTCCCCCTTTCTTTCCCTTAGCTACCAGAGCATGGCAAAGCCAGGTGGCCGGCCGAAGACTGGGGACAGTACTGCCAGGCAGGAGCTCAAAGGCTTCTCCATTCATCTTGCCATTGTGGTGCTGGGGATGCTGCAGGAGAACCTGGTCTGGGTGGGACTGAGCAGTCTGCGAGGGTGCAGCGGCCTTGAGGCCTGGCTGTTTGGGGAGCTCCTGCCCAGAGGCATGGCTCACAAGGGAACCCTTTGACTGTTGGGGTCTGGAGGCTGCTTTAATTTGAAGTGAAGTACCCTCACCCCAAGAGAAAGGTGAAGAGGAAGGTGGGTGTAGCACCTCCCTTGCCTCCTCCCTGAGCATAGGGCACACCTGGAAGGGGAGAAGAGCGGAGGGTACATCGCACCTCAGGTCCTGTGCCCAGCATGACCATAAGGTATACTACACCCACTGGTGTGCTTGTGGCACACTAATGGGGCTCCCCAATTCATGTGGCAAGAGGGATACCCACGTGTGTCTGTAGTTCAAGGGCACCTGGCGGCAGTCTCTCTTCCGGTTCCCTCAAAACTTCATTGAGGTTCAGCTGCGTTCCTCCCCATGCTATTTTACTTACACCCCCCACCATCTGTGGACCCACCAAGTCATGGGACTTTCTGTCCAACCTCCTCCTGCCCTGGCCATCCACAGCACAGGGGCAGAGAAAGGTGGGGGCTGTTCTGGCAACCAGGGGACTCACTTCCATCCCCTCATCTGAACATGACTTTTGGTACAAAAAGATTGACACTTCTTCTACATGCTCTCCCAGCTTCCAACTATTTTCAGCTCACGTTTTTGGGGGGAGTTGGGTTTTTTTGAGTTGGCTGATGTTTCTGTGTATGTAGTAATCTGTGGTGGACTCTCTTTTTTTCAGTACACATGAGGATTAAACCATTATATCTTCTTACGAATTTCCAGGACAAGCTATTTCCATAGCTCAAGGTGAGAAATCTACCGTGGGTGCAATTCTCTGCAAGAAAGACTGAAGCTGGGCAAAGAAAAGGAAGGCATTAAAATATTGAGTCCTGTTGCTATGGGTTTTCTATAATTTTATCGGAAATAATATTCTGGATCCTAATAGTAAAATTGCATGAAACATCTTTCTCGGGGGACAATTCATTTTGCAGCCTTCAGTTTCCTTTGGCAGCCCCTTTCCAGCCCCACACCAGCTGTAGCCCTGGTCTTTCTGTCAACCCAAATCCTAGGCTGATTCACAAGCCAAGACCCTAATCCACTGAGACAAAGGAGACTGCCAGTATAAGCCCTTAATTTTTTTTTTTTTTAGATACTTTTGCAAGCAATCCAGCACTGTTGCTGATAGTTTACTCATCAGGAACCCTAATCCTAACCCCCAACTGTCCATAGGCCAGGGACTGCACTTCATCCCAAGCCCTATCCGTGTCTCAGATGAGGATCCTAACCTCAGCCTTTCCTTTCTTTTGTTCATCCCTTACATTCCCTCCCTCCCCAGACTGCAGCTACAGGTTTTATCGTTCCTTCCACATTCACCCAACACAATGTTGGTTTATTTAGCAGTATTCTATGAAAACCCCTTCAAATATACCGGGACCTTTTTCTCCTAGGACAGAGTAATGAAAGACAACTGATTACCTGGTTTGGAGACATCTTGCTAAGCAGTGCCTTGCTAAGCAATGTCTTGGTGAAGACCATGCCCTTTTCTAAAGCAGATCATTTGTTCAGTTGCACTTCATTTTCTCTAACAGCTAAGCTAAAATTTGGTTAGAGTGGGGAGGAAGTGAATTAGCCAGCCGGTAAATATGGCAAGAATAAGCCAAGCTCTCTCACGTGAGGAGCAAAATGTCCAGTAGAGCTTTTGGGGTGGCCTGAAGCATTCAGGAGATGTGTGTGACCCAGTGTCAGTCAGCAGCAGGTGGCTTCCAGCAGTGGCGATTCAGCAGTCTGCCTTCTGGTTTCATCTTCTTCGGGTCAGCCATAAATCTTAGTGACCTGTGAGAAGAAAACTGGAGAGAAGTGCACTACATTAGCAGCTGAGGACAGAAAATCAATATGAAGTCCTAGTATACTGGCAATCGAGTAACTGGCTAGAAATATAATTTTTTTTCCTTGGTGCTCTCTGGAAATGTTGAGGTTACAATAAACTCAGAGCAGACCATGAAAATAATGGGGGAGAGAAGCTCCAGCCTCAGCAGATAAAAGTGGTGCTGTGATTTGAATGTATCTACTGTGACTTGAATTTATCTAGTTACATAGTCTGATCTAAATAGGATTTACATACCTGACCAATAAACAGCATGGCTTTCTGTATACATTAAGACTATATTCACTGGAGACAAACACATACAACTCGAGTTGCTTCAGGGAACTCCTCAAACTTGTACGTTTTCCTCAGAGAACAATATGATTAATTCTATGTAATCTAGTGTTTAAGAATCACGTGTTCATAGATCATTAAAGTCCATGATTTGCACTTGCCCTGGAATTGTTTTTCTTTTTCTCTTGTACCTGTGCAGAAACCTTAAGTCTTTGAACAACAATGGGACTTTTGATAGATCTCTACCAAGGCATCTTAGGATACAGGATTGATCTCTACTCATCACACCGAACAAAATTTCAGGAAATTTCTCTGATCAGGAAGAGAGACCAGTCAAAACAGATCAAGAATCATTGTTTGTATACATAAGCAGTAGCATTATATTTCCCTTTACTCTTAGGAATTACTATAACTTAGTCACAGAAGTGATATTTAGGGCTCTCGTGCAGACCCATTTGACACCAATAGGAGACTAATTCTCCCATTTTGCCTAAAGTGAGAGGTTTTTGATTCGTGACACCAGGGAAACGCAAAGAAAAACCTAAAGGAAAGCTTGTTCCTTAAACCTGCTATCAAAGTAACATGAATCAACCCTAAAACTAAATGAGATATTCCCGTCCTGGCTGGCAGGTACTACTTGAGTGTGAAATAATCAAGTGCTGGATTACTGCAGCTTGCCCAGCTGCAAAGTGGGACAGGGTGGTGGGGTAGTACATCTCCCCATCCCAAAGTCCGCCTGAGCTGTAGCACTAAAAATGTAAACTGCTACAGCCAGACCCACATACTTTGTTGAAGCTGCACTCATTTATCCCAGCTGAGTTTCTGTCCTTTTAAGTAAGTTTAGCTATCAGCATTTTTCCCTATGGTTCTTGACTTTGTGGATGCCCACTCAGCGCAGCGACTGGTGTGGTTAAGGAAAGTGCCTAGTAGCCAAGCTTCATGTGTCTGGCTTCCTACTGTGCTACGTTGTGTTAACATACTCGGAAGAGGGGAATCTGGTTGAGAGAACTCATGGAGAAACCTCTTCTCATGCCTGTTAGGTCTTCTGTTCTTCTCTTGCCCCCGCAGATGGCCAGTGAGGATCCGCTGCAGTCCTGCCCAGCTTGCATCAAACTTGGGGTCAGCACGTATGGAGCTCAGCCATGAGCTCAGGCTGCAATGTAGAGGTATCTCCTCAGGGTTGTGCAGTGGAATTAGCAGCAATAAAGGTTAGGTTTGTATGTTTGACTGAAAAGCTCATCTGGCATTCTGGAAAACCTGAGACTCGGAGCCAGAGCCAGCCATTATGTGGGCCAGTTGTGGAGAAGCAGAAAAAGTTGTCTCCCAGTTGCTTCTCCCACAGCTGACAACCTTCCCTAAGTGCATTGCGAACTAATTTTTCCCCCCTGCTTTTACACAAAGTAAAACATGAACGGAGAGAGCATTACGTGGGCTTGCTGAGCTCGGGGGGGGGGGGAGGGAGGATGGGGGGTTAGGGGGGGTCGGGGGGGGGGGGGGAGGCAGGATGGTGGTTTAGGGTGGGAGAGGGGCAACCCTGCAGACCTCTTCCCCACAGATTTCCTCATCTACTCCTACTCCTCATACTGGAAGAGCCTGGGAGAAAATTTTATATGAGGTAAACATCCATTTTTGCTCTGTCCATGGGCTCTGCTATGTTTTCTGGGAGATGAGCTGTTAATAAGCATGGGAGTTTATTCAAGCGCTTTTATCTGGTGCAGATAATCCCTTAGATTACTTCTTTCCTCTCTTCCTGTTACTAGAAAGTAAATATCTTTGAGAGAAGCCCCTTTCCCTGTACTTATCCCAAACGTACACATATGTTCTCATAAAGACAACGTGCCTACCATGCGACTAACTTCCAGTTTTATGTTTTTCTTCTTTGTTTTCTAATTTAGCTGATTAACCAGATACTTGTTCTATCTTCCCATTACCTGAAGGAGTTACACGTTCTTTTTACAGAATGTTTTTCTTTTTGTTTTCTAATTTAGCTGATTAACCAGATACTTGTTCTATCTTCCCATTACCTGAAGGAGTTACACGTTCTTTTTACAGAAAATCAGAGGCAAGTATGAAGCCTGTCTACTGTGAGTTTGTCCCTGAAGAAATATTTTACAATGACCTGAAAATTACACAGCGTCCTATAAAAAATAGAAACATAATTTAGATTTAGGCTTATCCCTTTAGGAAAAAAAATAACAGTCAAAGGAAGTTGTATATTTTAACCAAGTTTAGGATAGTGAGTGAAGCAGCTGTTGGTATTTAATATTGCTTTCTTGACCTCTCTCACACATTTGTGCCTTTGGAAGCCAACTGACTTTTTTTAGTGGAGATTTCTGGGCATGAAGTGCTGTTGTAGTGATAAAAATAGTTGCTGCTCACTTTTGTCAGAGAACAGGCACAAAAGGGCATAAACACGTGTGCAGAAATCTCAGCAATGATCCCATTTGCTAAACTTTAACTACTCAAGTGCCTTTCTTCTAGCCATGGCTTTCTGTAAGAACTGATTTTGCACCACATTTCAACAAAACATCTATTCTAGACTATTTTGACACACCTTGAAAAGGAGAAGAGCAGATCTAACACTTTAGGTATGCAGCTGTTTGGAAACCGTACAGCTCTCAGTGTGTCACCGCTGAGCTGGGAATCGATATCAAAAAGCTTTACCCTGGGTCTGGTGGTGTTCGGTATTTTCACTAGTGACTTGGATGACGGAGTAGAAAGAGTGCTCATTGAATTCCTGGGCAACGTGGAGCAGAGAATGACTGCAGATGTGCTGGAGCAAGAATTGCACAACCTGCCTGAAGATCAAGCTCTAGAGATCTCTCCTTCGTTTCCAGGTCCAGCTCCCCTTTTAGAGATGTTTGTTTGACTTCTACCATCTGCAACTTCCTTGCTTGCACACCTCTTGCCTCCGGTGGCATCAGCCTCTGGGGAACAGTGCTCCACCTCCACAACTCAGACCCTTTTTTGGGCCTCCTGCAGGCTTTCTTCCCCCAGGTGGACTGATTTTAACCAAGCAGGGTAGTAGCAGGAATGCAAAAGTGCCATCCTGACAGAGGAGATCCCCTCCCTTCCATTTATTGAGGCTATGAGTGACTGGGACTACGTGGGTGGCAAGGCAAGGAGATGGGGTTAAAACAGCATTTTTGCTCGTATGAGGCAATGTATAAATATGAGTCAGCGCAAAACTTTTCCATAGTCCTAAAATATATGTCATCAAAGATAGATGGGGTGGATTGCTTAGAAGGACTCTCCGCAAAGAGTTCAGTGGAAGCCTGGACAACTGCTTTAGACTAGACACGACTCCTAGATAGTTAAAATTAACAGCAACATATCTCACCCTGTATGTATACACAAGAAGAGCAGCCCTTGTCTGGGAGAGCTTACAGTCCATGTCTAATTGATTGCCATGTGTTTTTAATTTAAACTCATTGTTAAAACACAAGAAAGAGCAGCAAAATCCTTTCAAAAAGTTTCAAAATATCTTTTGCTAGTTTTTGTCTTCAGATATAATTGGCCAAGGAGAATGGTGGACCCAAGTTGTCCTGTACTAGCAAGGCTCTAGACAACCCATATACATGATCCTCCTTTCTAACCCTCCCACGCCATCCAGCTCCCACTGAAGTCAATAGCGATCTCATGAGGGGTCATTGTTTGCTATCTCTGTGTGTGATATCTGAACCAGATGGAAGCTATAAAGTATGAGGCACAACCATTGCTCTTTTTGACACAGAACTTGAGACTATCTAGGCCAAGGGAAATCTTTTCTACCCACAAAAGTCCTAGTTTCCTATATTATGACCTATATCAACAATATTAAAGCTCAAAGCTATACTGTTACACTGATGACTTTATTCCATTGACTGTACAGCTCAGTCAGTACATATAAAATTGCAGGATGCATTTAATGTAATTCAATTAGATTTAATTGAATTAAAACTATTATTAAATTCAGCCAAAGGTAAGTCTATGGAATTTTTTTCTAATAACTCAAAAAGCTCAAGTCTGGATGAGTTTAAAATAATAATCCTACAAGAGAATATGATTGAATAAGTAAGAACGTACAAACATTTAGAAGTCCAGCTAGATATGAAACTGAACTTTATATATCACATAAATCAGTCATTACAGAAATGGAAATCAATTTGGGAGGGTTTGCTCAACCTAATTTTTGCTCTGCTTTTAAGTATTTAAAGAAAGATTGATTTCGTGCCATTTTAATTGGCTTAATCCAGCTAAGTATGGAGGCCCCTGTGTTAACGTAACAGAACATCCTTTATCATCTGGCCATGAGTAAACTCTTAGAGCTGTTTCCCTAAGTCGTAGCAGCCCCTGACACTGAGGACCTTATATTTCCTAATATGGCATTTTAAGCAGCTGCTCCACTACAGTTTCTTAAGGTTTCCAGGTACCCTGGTCCAAACAGTCACTGTTTTCAACCAACTCTTCTTTTCCTTCCTTTCTCTTTACTTTAATGTCTTCTCTGTTGAAGACATGTAGTGGGACAGTTAAACAATAGGAAAATGAATTAAGGAGACTTCAGCCCTGAGATTTTTTCCATGGAGGCAGAAAGGCAACTAGGAGTCATTCCGTGTGCCGTTGGTGAGATTGCAAATTTTTATCTACTGGTTGTTACAGTCACCAGCAGGGAACTGAACATACACTATTAAATACCAAAAAAGTGCCAGACATTGCCTTTTTCCATTGTACACCAGGCAGGATGAGTTGTTTTACATCTTCTATAGCCACTATGTTAGGTACAGCTTGCTTGACAACTTGCATGTCTCTGATACGGTATGGGCATGCCCAGGTAACCGAGGGGCAAAGGGCTGATGGAAAGGACCTGAGTGTGAAAAGGTGGGGTGGGACTACAGCCTCGGACAGAGCCTGTGTCCTGGGTAGGTGTACAAGGTGTGTACCAGTAAAAGTGTCTTCCAGCAGTTACTAGTAACTCTAATGTGAAGATGTAGTTACTGGAAAACTAAGTTAGTTGTTGCATTGGTTGAATGCTCGTGGAATTGGTTTGCTAAAACTATAAAAGAAAAGAATCTGAGAGACTCTAAACCTGATTCACAAAACTTCTATTATACAGAATACATTTGTGTAACCTTCATCATTCTGCTGGTAACATGGCGTTTGGCTGGTCCTGCCCTTGTGCTGGTTGCACAGGATCACGCGTTGCTTCATTGGATCCGTTTTTTTGCCAAACCAGAATGGTTTCCCCTGTAGATGGCTCTGTTTTCCTACGCAATTTCGGGAGTGCTGTTGCTTTAGAAACACCACGTAAACGAGATTGTGCTAGGGCTTTCTTTTCCCCTTCCAGTGAGCGTTATGTTCAGAAAGCAATCGTTGGGATTAGATGCCCTTTAACGTGATGGTTCTGAAGACAGCTGAACTGTGAATACTCAGCCACTTTCCACAAAAAATATTTTTTTGGTGCTTGATTTGGGACTAAAGTTTCAGAGAAAAGGCTCAGCCTGAGTCCTAAGAATTGCTGTTTGAGATGCCCTGGGCTGCAGCAGCTGGTATCAAGGTCCTGATCAGAAGGATGAGGGTCTGCCATAGTTTCTGTGTCGTATCTCCCAACCGGCTGTGGGTTTTGCCACTACCTGTGGCATCTCCAGTGGTACTAGGTGCCTGGGGTTAGGCAACTGGAGTGAACCCAGAGCTTCAGCTTTTTGCGTGTGTGGAAAAAGGATGTCTTACTGTTTAATAAAAAGAAGAGAGGGAGAGTTTTCACTCATTTTCTTCTTAGCACCTGCAGACCAGAAGCTGTTGGCGTGGGATGAACTGGCATCGTGACTGCTCACTCTTAGCAAAGCTTAAATATCTAGTGGGATGTTGCATCCCTTTCTGGGCCCAGCAGCTTGGGTGCCCTGGTGTGGCACGGCTACCAGGCCCTGAGAAGGCCAGTCCCTGTTGGGGAGGCTTAAGGAAGAAGATAGAGGGAAATTGCCTTTGTGAGTCAATTGGACAGAGGGATTATAATATTTAAATTACAGTGTTCAAGAATAGAATCTGAACCCTAAAAGAAATGTGATGATGGCCGAGAGACCTTTCTGGGGTGCAGAACAGACACTGTCTAAATGCAGACAAGGAGCTATAATACCTGGAGATAATTCCTCCTAAGCCACAGTTGAGTTACATCAGGAGAACACCTTTGTTTTGTGCTGCTGTGTGCTGGTGGTAGAAATTATCCTACGCTGGAGCTAGCAACCCACCTGAGCTCACCTAGCCTCCCTGGCTGCTAAAAAAGAAACCGTGAACCCAAAAATATTTAGGAGAGATGAGAAAGCTCTGACGACTCTCAAACTCCTGAACTATACACTGCATTTTGGCACTGACACTACACTGAGCTATCCGTTCAATGCTTGCATGAATTTCTATCTGTTCAGCAAATGTGATAACTCAGAGATACTGTATCTGGAGATTATCTCTTCTAGTTTCCATCAACAGCAGGAACCTGAGCTGGGAGCACTGGGTGAGCTGCTCGTGCTGAGTGCCGGGACTCCCCGTCGTGAGCTGCTGGCTGGGACCCACCTCCACAAAGAGGAAATGAAATCACCAACCCACAGTTGTTGAGAAGAAACTTGGCAGAAAGTGCTAGGGGAAGGTCTGGTAAGGTCACCTGAAGCACACTCTGGGCATTGGTGTCGGAGGGGTGCCTCTGGGCATTGGTGTTGGAGGGGTGCCTGTGGGATGGATTTGACTACAGTTTCAAACTAATTGTGAATGTAAAACCAGCCCCGAGCTGGGGTACGCCCCAAAGTGTTACCCCAAATACATAATGTATTGGAGGCTGAGCTTGGTCTCTCTTGTTTGCAAATATTGCTACCAACAAGGATCATTCCCAGAGGCACTGTTTTCCTGATAAATCTGCACCAGTATAGAAAGGATGGATAGTAGAAGGAACCTAGTTGCTTAAACAATGCAAGACTTTCTGAAGATCAAATTATTGTAAATTATATGTTACTTTTAAATTAATACCTAGAGAGTCCTGAATACCCAAGAACTTTTCAGCAAGGGCAAAGCAAACGATTAGAGGTTGGAGAGTATCCCATAATAGGAGAGATTAAAAAGATTACAGCTATTTAGTTTAGTAAAGAGACTAATAAGAAGTGACATGACAAAGGTATATAAAATAATGTATGGCACAAAGAAGGTCAGCAGGTGCTCCTATTTATCCTGTCTTGTGAAAGAGGCACAGGAGGATACCTAATTAAATTAAAAGGCAATAAATTTAAAACTGGTAAAGAAAATGCCCTTTTATGTCACATATAGTTAATCTGTGGAACTCACTGCCACAATAAATTATGGAGGTAAAGACTTTAGTTGAATTCAAAAATCTATTAGATAGATAAAAAAAGACACAATTGTCAAAAACATCTAAGTTCCGTTTTCAGAAGTAACTTAGGATCTTATGCAGAAAGAAACATAAGTACCATGCCGAAGTCTTTACGTTAAACACTTGCTGGATAATACATAGACCATCCTTACAGCAGGGACCAGACTGCCAAGTCTTGCTCTTGCATTTTTCAATTAAAGAATTAGGATTTTTTATTAAGCAGAACATCTGAAGCAAGAAAATGTCCCCTTTTGGGGTAACTGGGAAGTTCTGGGGTGAGGTGTGCTGTGGGGGGCACAGGATCCCCTCAGTCAGAGGAGGGATTTGGGCTTAGGTCTATCTTTACTATGTTCTTGAGTTGCCATCCTGCTTGTTGTAATCCCTAGGCTGCCATGGGACTTCTTTATTTCTTGGAGCGCCTCATACTGCTGGTGTATATAGGTGTGATCTGGCCATCTCACTCCTCTTCTTCTCCCCTTCTCAGAGCCCTGG